TAGGAATTGCTGAGGGGAGTGGTTGGGCGCAGGATCGGCCACGCTCTTAGTTGCGAGGATATCGCTTCCTTCCTATCCGGTTCGCTGGATGGAAAGATGAGGGGCGGAGGGGAGACTTCGCTCTGGTCGAGTGCGCGGAACGCCGCGCTCAGACAGTCCGGGAGGTTGTCCTTGCGATGGCGGTGGGCTGAGGCCACTGAGGAAATGGAATTGCAATGCCAAAGTCCCAGGGGGGCAGCGATTAAGATTCCGCCTGGAGCGCGCGGCCAGGTAGTGAATCGGTTGCGCTCAGCTGTAGTAGAGCACTATTCCAACAGGTTGCTCAGCAAGCCTGACCAGAGTAAAGTCTTCGAGGTGTCGTTACAGAGTCGGGTGAGCAATCACTTTATCCGTGGCGGCAGTTTCACTCGCTTCGCTGATTGGCGCTTTGTGCATAAGGCCCGCTTAGATGTACTCCCTCTCAACGGCGCACGGCGTTGGGGGACAAACGATAAGCGCTGTCGGCAATGCGGTGAAGCATCGGAGACTTTACCTCATGTGCCACTGCGGTATCCATTCCGCCGCAATACAGCTGAGGCACAACGCTGTCCTGCACCGCCTCTGGAAAGCCACTCGCCTTCCAGGGGTAGTGCGGGTTAACCAGCGGGTGGAGGGTGTCAGCGGCGATTTGGCGGCGCTACGACCTGACCTTGTGGTCGGGCACGAGCCCTCCAAAAGTGTCGTCATATGTGACGTCACGGTACCCTTTGAAAATAGATGGGTATCATTTGAAGATTGCCAGGGCGAGGAAACTCGATAAATACAACGCCCTGGCCGAAGAATTACAACGACAAGGGTATCGTGTCGTCGTGACAGCCTTCGTCGTCGGTGCCTTCGGCTCGTGGGATCTAAAGTCACTAGATTTATAAAGTACCGCAATTCATAAGACCAATGTATAAGGATTTGGAGCCAAAATGACGTCGAAAAGTGTAAATAGTACTCATTTTCATAACGTATCTACACATTAAGTGTAATGTATTTAAACTGTTTGTTGTGTAATGGTAAAATCTTCTGTTTAATAAAACAATATTAAACATTTGAAAATATTGCCAGGTTGTTGTGTAGATAACTGTGTTATCTAACGGCTGTACAAATCGAAGCGAAAAAGGTTTCCGATTATTTCGTTTTCCAACAGGTAAAAATAATATCGAGCGATGCAAAGAATGGCTTAAATTAATCGGAAAAGACACATTGTAATCAGCAAGAGCTGTAATTTGTGAGGTATATAGTTAACAAGTTATAATGTTATAATGTTATTTTTGTGTAAAACATTATGTATTGTAATAATTACATAAATATAGGTGCACTTCGATGACACACAATTTGAAGGAAGTCGACAAGATGGAAGAAAATTGCTCTCCCCATATGCAACACCCAATTTATTAAAAAAATGTATAGCGGAGGAAGAGAGGACAAAAAGAAATACAGCTAAAAAAGCTAAATATTCCGAACATGTCCAAGATTTACAATCTCGTAAATTTTATAATATAATTTACAATCTCGTAAGTTTTATAATATAATCAAAATTAATGTGTAGATAACTGTGAGCGCAACACAACATATACAAATGGGAATAACTCCGGTAATGTTAATAGTAATGTTAATAGTAATGTTAATAGTAATAATACTGAGTTTGAAATAATCCACATTGAAGCAATTCATGCCGAAAAAAGCAATATAGAAGCAACCCATATGGAAACAAACAATATAGAAGAAACCAATGCTGAGACAAACAATACAGAAGCAACTCATGAAACAACTTATACCAACACTGCATCCAGTAAAATCTCTGATAAAAAGCATATTCGACAATTAAAGAAAAAATTAAAAAATACTTTGCAACAGTGTAATCTGTTAAAAAGAAAATTACGACAAAAGAATTTAAAAAAAAATTTACGAAATGTATTTGCAAAAGATCAGATGAATTTTATTAAATATGGCACACAAAGAGGAGCATCGTGGTCTGCCAATACTATTAATAAATCATTAAGATTGTATATGGCTTGTGGAAGAAAAGGTTATGAAGAATTACGCTGTCAAAACTTACCTTATCCGAGTATTCGGACCTTACAACATCATATACAGGACTTAAAATTTAGACCAAAAAGCCAGGCATATTTCAAGATATTTTCAACTTGTTAAAAATGAAAATTAGTACTTCTCAAGCATACAATTTGTCAGATTGGTAAAGGTGCAATCTACGGTGTTCACCTCAAAAATCGATAAAATTATACTCATTCGACGCGTTTTTGCATGAAACGAAAGAATCTGGTAGGTAAAAGTGTCGCTCTGCTCCGCGAACCGAGATATTAAGCGTTAAAGTTGTCGACTATGGAGGTTAGAAAATCTGTCATACCGACGTTACGTAGCGACTGAAA